AGGAAGAAGCGGGAGGGGGAGAAGGCGGGGGAGGAAGAGCAGTAGCTGGGGAGGCAGCAGGGGCTGGAGCAGCAGGAGACAGCAAGCTCTGCTCCATGGTCGATGACCACCTGCGGGGTACAGACTCCCCTACCCCCAAGGATGTGGTCCACAGCATCAAAAGAGGGGCAGGTGTCTGGGTCTGCCCCTGGTTGGGAGCTGCCCCCTGTGGCCCTGGCATATGCTTGTCGCAGCTCCTTTATTTTCTTGTGAACCTGCTCCTGGGTTCGCATGTGGCCTTTGGTGACCAGGCTGGCAGCCATCCACCTGTAAACGGTTGTGTTCCTCCCCTACCCCCAAGGATGTGGTCCACAGCATCAAAAGAGGGGCAGGTGTCTGGGTCTGCCCCTGGTTGGGAGCTGCCCCCTGTGGCCCTGGCATATGCTTGTCGCAGCTCCTTTATTTTCTTGTGAACCTGCTCCTGGGTTCGCATGTGGCCTTTGGTGACCAGGCTGGCAGCCATCCACCTGTAAACGGTTGTGTTCCTCCATTTAGTGCAGAGATCATGGATGTTGGAGGCTTCCCCCCAAACCTGAATTAGGTCCCTCGCCTCTGCACTGGACCAGGCAGGCACCTGCCTTTTCTGGCCCCTGGCAGGCTCCTGGGAGCTGGCAGACTAGTCCTGGGGAGAGGTGGAGGGCTGGCTGGCACTGGCTGCCTGGCTCATGATAGGGCCACTGGGTCAGGTGCAGTGAGTGCTGGCTCTGGACTGGCAGGCTTGGAGCTGCCACAGGCACTGTGGCCAGAGTCTACCCCTTTAAGGGCTCTGAGGAGAGGGGGGGAGGGAGAGGAGTTTTCTTGGTTGTGCCCAGAGTGGCCACCAGGGCACCCTGGGAAGGGCTGAAGGCCCCCTATTTCAAAATAAACGTCTACACAGCACTTATTTCGAAATAGTAATTTCTAAATTGGTGTTATTCCTTGTGAGATGAGGTTTATCAATTTCGAAATAAGCCCTCCACGATTTGATTTAATTTCAAAATAGCGGTTTGGCTGTGTAGATGCTGGTAAAGTTATTTCGAAATAACTTTGCTATGTAGACATACCCTTAGAGAGTTATGGTGTTCTTGGTCTAGCTAAATAGTATGTTTTTATCCAGTTATAGGTAAATAAATCAATAACTAGCTATTTTCTATTTAGATTACAATGGGAAGCATTCCAGTAAAGGTGGCTTCTGTAAAAATCCATTTGCCAGCGTTGACTAAAGAAAAAAATCCTCTGATGTATCTAACTGCACTGGATACAGATCAGGTAAAGAACTAAAGCACAGTAACTACAAACTTTATCCCCATGTAATAGATGCAATGTAGACTCATTAGAATAATAGTGTAACACCTGATTATTTAGAATGAGTCAGTCCACAAGCAGTCCTAGTGTGATTTCCTGTAACTGCTTTTCAATGTTTGTATTGGATGTTGTCTCTTTATAACTACATTCACTGATAATGTGTCTCCCCCAACCTGAAAACCAGGGAATCTCTGGTCATTCTTTTTAGTCCTAGTGGACTAAGGATGCTTCAGGGATTGGGGCACTAGCCTAGGACATGGGATCCTGAATTCATGTCCCTGCTCTGCCATAGGCTTCCTACGTGACCTCAGGCAAGTCATTTAGCATCTCTGTTGATCGGTTTGCTGTCTGTAAAAATGGGGATAATAGTATTGCCTACTTATATTAGTCAAGGGCAGGTGATAAAAACAGGACGTGATCATAAAATTCAAGTGTGTAACATAATGAATTAAAAGCTTCAGAAGGGTAGCCGAGTTAGTCTGTAACTGGAAAAACTTAAAAAACAATGAATACTCTAGTTGCGCCTTAAAGACTAACAAAACAAGTAGATTAATTAAGTGAGCTCCAGATGGGAGTTATTCCACTGATTTCAATGGGACCAGGATCTCCACATCAAAGTTTAATCAACAGTTAGCCCCTACCTGAGATTTGATTTAAGCATGTGTTGTTAAGACTTTCAGGGATGGAATAAGCTTTTTCATTATTCTCCATCCAGAACTTACTTGGAATATTGCCCTTCGGGAAACTCACATTATCTGAATGCACTTCCTTTTAATATGTTAAAAAAAACTAGCATCCAATATTCATTTATACAAAGTTTTCAAAATATTTCAGACTTTACACATATGTCAAGGGTCATGTACTTCTCAACTGGAGCCTCTCTTCAAATCATATATGACAATTTGTAAAATTTGGTAAATGTGGGAGGGGGTTTAGAATTACCCCAAAAATTACTGTTTTAGTTCTGAATTATAAAGGATATTTACATATTATCAGTGGTTTCCAAAAGCATTCAGTATCATTTATATGTATAGAGAGAGTGAGTGAGTGTCACCCTTATGCTTCCACAAAGTATAATTCTGTATTTTCTTTTTAGACTGGAGGGGTCAGTTGTGATGCAAAGATTAATCCATTGCAAATAGGAAAAACATCTCATTCCACATCTTTCAAGAAAGAAAACTTCAGAGCTGCAAAAGAACTGGTAAAGAAAAGCTGTGTCTATAATATCTGTGGTTCAAATCCTGCCTTATATTTCAAATAAGCAGACCTCTGTGCCACTCAAGGCCTTGCTGGCATCAGTGGCGGGTTCCACACAGGCTCAGCAGTCCACCTGCAGGGATCACAATGCAGTGCAGGGGCCTATCATTGTATTGTGGTGGTGTTTCCACTTCCTTGGTATATATTTTTTCTTTTATATAGCTAAAATTTCTGAACAATAACCACAGCCCATTTTTCTACTACATATTACACTGAGTGCATACATGTATATATTACTTGGTATGTGCAGATGGAACAGGCTCTAATATCACTCCTTGCAGCTCAATCAGATAGCTCTTTCTGCTGCTTTTGTGTCTGTCTAGTTGAGTTTTTTCTATAGTGCCCATCTAACCATAATATTGCTGCAGTGTTTGGATAATTGAGATCACTAATGCTGACTAAATTAATCTAAATAACTAATAAGATATGCTTATGACATTAAGAATCTATGTGAAATTAACTTCTTGCTGGAGGCGATCCCTCTGGTTTAGCGCTGACCTACATTGGTGGGAAAGTATGAGCAAGCTTGCATTTGTACAGTTCATGGTGTATTTGCCCTATAGATAAGCAAGGGTCTTTTAACCCCCAGAGCTGCCAATCCAGTATAGGCTGCAAGCATGTAATTCATACACACAGAATAATTAAGTTAAGACACTTGTTCAACAAGGACCAAGAGGTTTAAAATTAAATCTGTAGCAGTTGCTAAAGTGAATTATGGCTTTTAAAATCATGTGAATACCTCTTTTTTTCCCCCTTCTCTGCAAGAACTGCAAGAACACTCACTGTAATACAATCACGTGCAGTCTGAAAGACCTCACACTGAAAGGAGAATATTTTGTAAATGTGTCTACCAGAATCTGGAATAGGACCTTTTCAGCTGTAAGTATTGAGTATATTTTGATGGGAGATGTTATACCCATGTATGTCATGCAAGCTGATATTTTTGAAATTTAGCACTAAAAGAGCCCTTCTATAGAAATCCATTCCTCTTGTTTTACATTGTTTTATTTATAATCCTAAATTAAAGAACTGTAACTAAAGCTGAAGTAGACACTGAGTCTGTGTAAGAAACAATTTAAAATGCTAAACAGAAAGATAAAGCCACTGAGACATTACAACTATAATAGCGACACAAATCTACTTGGATGCTGGGATGTGGTGTTTGCTTTTGCAGACTGTCCTATAAGCTTAAGCAGAGTTTCCACAGAGCTGAAAGACACAACACATGACATTAAACCACGGAGACAAAGTAGGTGAGCTAATATCTTTCATTGGACCCACTGCTGTTGGTGGTGAAAAAGAAGCTTACACCACCAAGCTCGTCTTTAGATCTGGGACCACCATAGATACTATAGCACTGCAATACATTTTTGTGCAGTCATATTCTGAAAAAAATTCTTCACTTTTGAACTGCAGCAAACCTTTATTTAGGCTTGCCAAGATTTTTTTTAATTTTGAGGATTAATATTGATCATTGTAAATGTTTTGTTTAATTGTTATCTGTTTTATTAATTTTATTTTAATCTGTTCAGTTCTGGGATGGCCTTCCCCAGGGTCAGGGAATTATTGTTCTCCTCCTGTCCCTGGCTGGTAGCTTTTACACATCCTGAATACTAACAGAGATGTCGCCGTGTTAGTCTGGTCTAGCTGAAACAAAAGACAGGACTATGCAGCACTTTAAAGACTAACAACATGGTTTCTTAGGTGATGAACTTGTGTGGGCCAGACCCACTTCCTCAGATCAAATTGTGGAAGAAAATTGGCATGACCATATACACCAAAGGGATACAATCAAAAAAAGTGAACACATATAAAAAGGACAAGTCAAATTTCAGAACAGAGGGGGGATGAGGAGGGGAGGTTAATGTCTGTGAGCTAATGATATTAGAGGTGATAATTGGGGAAGCTATCTTTGTAATGGGTAAGGTAATTAGCATCTTTGTTGAGACCCAGGCGTAAAGTGTCAAATTTTTAGGCATGAATGACAGTTCAGAGGTTTCTCTTTCAAGTCTTGTGTTAAAATGTCTTTGAAACAGGATGCAGGTAATCAAGTCATTGAGACAATGCCCTTTCTGGTTGAAATGGCAAGAAACTGTTTTTTCTTTGTGATACTGTCTGATATATGTTTTGTGTGCATTGATTCTTTGGTGAAGTATCTGAGACGTTTGTCCAATGTACATAGCAGAACGACACTGTTGGCACATGATGACATAAATTATATTTCTGGATGAGCTGGATGAGCAGGAATATCTGTTCGTGATCTTATAACTGAATTGGTTAGCGGAATGGTGTCATTCACCATTCTTATAACTGAATGGTGTCAGCAGAGTAAATATGTGGACAAACCTGGCAACAGGGTTTGTTGCAAGGGAAAGTACCAGGGTTGGTATTAGTGTAGTATGTAGTATTATCACCTCTAATATCATTAGCTCACAGACATTAACCTCCCCTCCTCATTCCCCCTCTGTTCTGAAATTTGATTTGTCCTTTTTATATGTGTTCACTTTTTTTGATTGTATCCCTTTGGTGTATATGGGCATGCCCATTTTCTTCCACAATTTGATTTGAGGAAGTGGGTCTGGCCCACGAAAGCTCATCACCTAATAAACCATCTTGTTAGTCTTTAAAGTGCTACATAGTCCTGTCTTTTGTTTTACCCATCCTGTGCATGAGGGGATTGGGTGTCACTGGATTTGTGATCATGCAAGGAACCCTTTGCAGCCTTTCTGTGAAGGCCCCTCTCATTCAGTAGGGCTAGAGAAGGCGCTTTGAGCTGTTGCATTCCTTTTGTCACCCAGTCCCTGAAGGTACAAAGTGCAGGAGCCAGGCTGCATTCACACTATTGTGAGTGGATATTTTATGCATTGATTTCAGTGGATCAGCTGGAATCAACATTTACTGATAAGGATTGATTTAAATAGAATCCTGGCAAGCTTTCCTATGTTGCATTCATGCTAGAAATCATTTCAAACATCAAAAGCCCAGAATTTGATGTGATAGTATTGCCATTTTTTTTCTTCAGAAAAGGTGTATACATTCAGAAAGATATGAAAACCTTTTGTTTGTTTTTTCAGAGGGTCACTTGTCAAGGAAACGGATCCCAGACTGAATTTTACAGTATGCTTAAAATATCATTTAAATAATAACTCTGACTATCACATCGTAAACTCCCACATGTCCTCCAAGACATAACAATAATTGTGAAGAAATTATCAGCCCTTGAAATGAAACAATGTCTGCTTCTCAGCTAGGCAGCCAGTCCAAACTCTCCTAACATTCTGGGTTTGTTTGCAGTCTCAGGCACATGACGCACTGTCTGTGTTCTGTCTGCCAAATCTTGTGACTGCGTATTGAAATTTACAAGCAGAATTCTTGTAAACGTCAATACTTTGACCATTAAAAAAAGCCCTCAGGTCAGACTGATAGTGTAATAGGCTTATGAGAGTGTGTGAGTCAAGAATTTGCCTGCTTTGTATTGTCCTTTTTACACATATTTTTTAATGAGCTGAACCAAGAATACTTGGCTGATGTTTGAGATACATGAAAGGTCAGAATAAAAGTGGTTAAATGGCTGTGCATTGAGAGGACAGGAGAGGTAGCAGGTAATACTGGTTTCCCTCTAGTAGCAGAAGAAAATCTGTTACAATTTTCTTTCTCATCTCATGGCTACATATCCTGTTTTGATTGTCAGTATTTCACACCTTTTATAGATGGCCATGCACCCCATAATCCTTTGCATTTAAAATGACAGCCTTCCTTGTGAACAGGATTAAGGGTATGCATGCATCTGTGTAGCAGGAA